GGCACAGCCGTCGTGATTGCGCGAGCCCCTACCAGAAATTCGTTGCGCCGCCCTTGGGGGCAAAAAACGGTGAAAGCTAACGTACGAAATCAGAGGGCAGCACACGGTGCGATCGCGCGACCCTGCCCGTGAGCAATCTCCCAACTCATCTCTGCTGATGGTTGCCCACTAAGGCCCGGTTCCATAACTCGGGTTAAGTGAAGCTTAAGTAGTTTACACCCTGTTTAAACCTGCTATAAACCACTTAAACTCCAGTTAACTCGAGCGTGGAACCGGGCCTAAATATATAATAAAGTGAAATGCTTACCCAGAGATTAGTTGGGAGATTGCTCACGGGCAGGGTCGCGCGATCGCATCGTGTGCTGCCCTCTGGTTTCGTACGTTAGCTTTCACGGTTTTTTGGCCCCAAGGGCGGCGCAACGATGTACATATATAGGCTGACTCTTTCATATCCTCTTAATATTAAGCTAGTCTGCTTACTGAGAATTTTTGAGTGGGAGGTCCAACGTGAGGTTTAGATATATATGGTTTAAGGTAACGGCAGATGTCCTTAGCCCATTGGAATAACATGGGCTAACGATAACATCTGTTGTTACCAGTTACAGAATAGGGGTCTCTGGAGCTTCCGGCGCCCTGAGCAAGCATGCCCCGCAGCTCGGTAACATCAGAAAAATCAAAGCAATAGCAATAGTCACGATACTCTATCTCTTAAAGTAGCACTTTCGTCATAAGTTATATTCGCTAAATAGAATAATTGTTCTACCTTCACTCGACGAACTCCTGGATTGGTTTTTACCATTTAGAGGCTCATTTTAAAGATCGTATGGAATATGATCTGGCCAGTATTCTCAGGCGAATTACCGTCTTGCTTCTGAACAAAGGCCTCTACGATCTAACATGATCCATGCGAATTGGAGTTTTTACTGGAAAACAAACCGCATAAAACTCGGCACGAAATGTTTAAAGAGGGAGTATAAAAGTACCATCTGTTATAAAGTGATTTGAAGAAATATTACACTAATAACATGCTAATTGTTTGAACTGAAACAATTCTTAAGGAATTAACTCAAGTTCCCTAGAACTTGGAGTACTTCGCCTTAAAAAATAACTACATGCTTAAGAATATTTGAGTAACAATATATTTTTCTCTGAAAAGATACAAAAAATGTTTTCTGTATTTACAGTAGTTCATGAAACTTAATACAGAAGATTATCTTACTTGTCATCCCTGTTACTGTTTAATGGAAACCCTGAAAATTAATTACCATAGTAAGATATAACTTCCTACACTTCATGTTAATATTGGTTTGAAATCGATTTCTCGTGACTTTCATATTTATATTTATATACACGCACTCTTAAACATGCTGCGTAAGTATTTATATAGTTTATTTTATGACACTTTCAGATCAGATTGTAACAGAAAGGTATTGTTTCCTGGTACGATTTTAAATGCCTTGCCTATTTGGTATATCAATAAACCTGCAGTATATTCAACTTATATAGCTGTGATAGATATCGGTTCATGGTGTAAATAATTGTAAACGGATGTTAATTATTAACACTCAATGATCTGCAATTATCTTCACAAAACATAAAACTAATTAATCTCATGACTGACCCGTATGCATTTTTACATTTAATAGTTTTCAAAGATTATAAAATGATGTTTTGTTTAATTAAACAAATACTTTTTGACAATGCTATATGTGTCTATTTAAAAACTTTCAAACTATTGTTTTTTCTATATTTCCGAAACTTCATTTACTTATTCAAGCTACGTTTTGGTTTAACAAATCTGATTTGATTTATTACACTTTCGCGATAACACAAATGGTCAAATGCATTGTAACAATACATTCAGTATTTAGAAACGTTATACAAATTATAGCAATTCAAAAAAGTGTCGATGTGTCATCAAGAGTTAGCTTAGCGCAAAACCTGCATCCTCTTATATTCTACTCATCAGTTTAAGATAATTCTTATAATGGACTGATACTATCTGTTTTGATGACAAATAAAAATAAAAGAAGTTTACCTTATTCTATCAGGTTAACGGTTCATTTAATCTATTTACTCAATTTACAATATGTACACAAGATCCTGCTTTTTCATCAACTTTCTATGCCTGAGTACTTCGTAGACTCCTTTTTCAAAAATTCTCCACAATCTAAAGTTTACCTAACTACGTGTGGCTTTATTTCTTCTGGACTGGCCTCAGAATTCATATTGATAAAAACCTTTCGACTCCGAGCATCAGTTAATAAAGCATTCCACATAATATCTTTCTGCAAATACAAGGTTATAAAATTACATTCATGGTTATGTTTAACCTATGATGAATACAAAATAAATAAATGTCTACTAATCAGTAAATTTTCTATACAAATAACTCAGTACATAATTTAATTGTGTAATAATGTAACCCAACTTGCCTCGAACGTTTTGAAGTTACCGCAGAGTATAAGTGAATGTCTCGCTCTGGTTAAAGCAACGCATACTCTTTGACGATCAGACATGAATCCTATACCTCGACTTCGTACGCAAGACATTATGATAACATCCCGCTCTTGACCTTGAAAACTATCAACAGTATTTACCTCAGTGGTTATCTTTTTTTTTATTTCGTCGGGGACTGCAGTAATTCTAAAAATAGAGAATACATTATACAAATGGCATGTAACCTTTACGATTCTCTATTGAAGAACACATTTCATATTAAATCCAGAGAACAACTTAATTTCTCTCACCGTTCGTTAATTTTATTTTCTACGATAGTCCTTTGATTGTTATATGGTGTAATGACACCGATAGAAATGCGATTGATTTTCTCGAGTCTTGCATGAATCATCATTGTGTAAATTAAGTTTGCCACAAACTGAGCCTCGTCGGTGTTAGAAAACTTATCGTCGTCCTGTTTGGAATCAAGATTCAAGACCTTGTAACTATGAAAGGGATACGGTTCTGTATTAGTAATATAATTCTCTGCACTGTTCCTTAGTTTTCCTTCGTAAAAGAACTTATTTGGCCAGTAAGCAATAGGATATGCCATTCGATACTGGGTATCCAGCATTATTATAGGGTTGTCTTTCTCGTGATGAAAAGCGTCCTTTATTCGAGAAAAGAGTGACTGATCCAAGCCTAATTTTTTCGCTCTCTGCAATTAATAAATGTTAGAAAATTGAATAGAAAAGTAAGGGGCGAACTATGTAAAGTTAAATGCCTGAATATGATTATGAATATTTTCGGGTTAACAAATATTAAAATAATCATACGTACTTGCGAGAGCACAGTAGCTGGTAATTGGTTGGGGTCTCCAACTAAAACTAATGTTTTAACTCCTAACATTAGTGGTATCAAAGTTTCAGCTTCGCAGCTCTGAGTAGCTTCATCTACAATACAGACTGATATTTTCTCCCGATGACCCCTAAAACAATTAATAGTTAATTTTATCAGTCTTTCATCGAATAAGTATTGCAAGATATTTTATTCACCCAAATATCTGTTCCATCTGATTCGTGTAACATGAACTCAGAGTACACGTGATAATGTCAGCACCGGCTAATAGGGTATTTTCTGACTGTCGTTCCAACCTCGCTCGCTCACGTAAATTCATTTCGTTCATCTGTATAATAGAATACGTTTTTTAAATTATTCTTGCGCGTAGATTTCGCATCTGTGATTTATTGTTACCTGAGGGCAATGCTTCAACAAATCGTATCTAGCCATCGTATCAACGAGCCTCTTTCTCACATAATTTATTCGTTCCTCAGTCAGCTTATTAGAACTTTGTAACTCGGCTTTTAGGGCATTTATGCGAGCCTCCAGGGACCGTTCCTAGGGGAAGAATGAAATTGATTGAAAGTTGACATTTTTGTAGTTAAAAAGAAACTATTAAAAATTATAATTATAGATATATTAGATCAATGAAAAAGAATTTATGAAAAATAAGAATCGCTTAGTAGGTTTGAAACCTGTTACTGAACTATTGCTTTCAATTTAAATGTTGACAGATTTGCAATAATTTTTCAAATACTGTTAATTACTTCTTCTTGATTGTTCGTTTGTATTCCACTGGCAATCCTTTTCGCAACATCCCGTTTTGCTAGCTCTGATACTGAGATGACTTTAACCATAGGATTCATTTTATCCTGGTGGCCAATTCGAACCATTTTGAAACGGTTTTCTTCAAACAAAAACACGTTCGTATAAATACATTAATGAAATATTTTTAATAAATCCAATTCTTGAAAATATCAAGTTTAGCTTACTTGGTATGCTTGCCCTAATTGCTAAGAGTCGTAGAACTATTTCATCGATAGCTGCATTAGAGGGAGCGCAGACTAATATTTTTAATGAATTTTTGCCATTCTTGTATCTATCATCACCATAAAGTGCTTGAGTTATGATATTAATAATTACTTTTGATTTTCCCGTTCCTAAAACAAAATATGATACTTTTACTCGATTAAAAGTATCTTAGAGGACGTTTCTTAACTTACCTGGTGGACCTTGAATGAGACAAATCTTTGGTTCTTTTTGAATAATTGCTTCCGTTACTCTCGATACAGCTTCAAGCTGCTTTGGATTTAATTTCTCCTTAAATATGAAAATAATAACGAATGTGAATTTGGAGACGATTAATCTTAATCGATTGTTTTCTTAATCTGAGAAATGTACCTTTGTCATTGGTGAATAATTCTTAATCGATAATACACTTGGTAATTGGTAAGACTTTGTCTTTGGAAGAAGAATAGCGTCCAGCAAGGGACTAAGAGGTAAAAACTGCAATGCTTGTATCATTCTCATATTTGAGCGTAAATACATAATACTTCGTAATCGTTGAACTCGATTCATATTGACGCTCAGTTCCAGTCGTTTTGTCATAACTGTAATTAGCAACAGGGCTTCCGGCTTCTTCACGTAATACGCTAAAAAAAAAAAAAATGCATTTACATAATAATATATATTTATTATTATTGCAATAATTTATCCAGATCCGTCTGTTTACCTAAATCTTGATTATAGATCACGTTAGGCGACAAAGCATATTGCCGTTGTTCTACAACGTATGCAAATAATTTATGGAAATTTTTTCCGTTGTCAGTGCTGACTACTTCCATGAATACTAAGTCACCATATACTGGATGTGCCTGCTTTTGCAAATCTTCCTTTGAAACTAATACTTCCAATGTCATAGTAGTAGCGTAGAGATCGGTTATTGGTATATTGATCTGAGCCACTGAATTCCTTACTATGGAACACATTACCGTCGGACGCCTATAAAATATCTCATTGTATTTTAGAAATTTTATATTTAATTACTCACAACTATGCTGTTAGTTTAACACAACTATGAACTTCTCGAAATAAAGAGAAGACTTACCTAGGATTCATTTCAATAGTAGTAAATTCCTTTGTTATGTCCTGCCAAATTTCTAATAATATAAGTGGCATTAAAATTCTGTAGTAGTCTTCGTAAGATTTGTAATAAGTCTGCATCGGAGGAATGTTGCTTTCAACAAGGGGTGGTTCTGACTTTAAATGACGTTGTTCCTTCAAAGGAAAGAGCAAAATATCAAAGTAACTAAATGAACACGTAATAAAGTATAACAGCAGGCCAGCAAGAAATGTATTTGCTCACTGCAGATTGAGCTTTAAAAGAATCCTCACACACACAAAATTCCTAATTTTTAAACAAACTTTTTATGTTGTTTTAGGTAAATTGACTTCGATTACTTGTTTTAAGATAAACTACGAGCAATACATTTCTGGCGAAAGTGATGATTAAAAACTAATGAATAAAATACTACATATAATCATTAAAAAAAATAACTGAAGCCATTATTCAAATTTATTTACACGCAGTGCAAACTTCAACAGAAATGAAAGTAGCTGGATTACCATTGTATTTTCATTAACTATAATGAACATACTTACTTCGAGCCAGATAGGTTTCCAAGCAAAAATACGTAAGAGAACTTCATCTAATGTGTGCCTGGGTCGGATAGGCTCTTTAACAGGCATCTTTTCCTTTGGTATCGGAGCATCTTTTCCCACCACTTTCTTCAAAGTATTCTGAGGATCTATTTCATAAATCTTAACTGTTGCTAATTCCAGACTAAACGATACTTTCTTCACATTTTTTCGTTTCCCTTCCTTTGTCACATTTGGTGAAAGATTTTCTTTTTGTTTAAGTACTGATTTCCCTTGAAATCTTTCATTTGTTCCGCCACTTTCCGATATTTCCATTGCCTGATGATTGAAAGATTTACTCTGATTCTCGGATGTCTCATCTGATTGACGAGTCAACGATTTCTGTTGATTTTCCAGTTGCTTGTTCTTCCGAATATTTGATTTCTGCTGTATCTCTTCCGCTCTTACACTAGTTTGGGGTCTTGGTGAATTTTCCGATTTCTCATTAGGTTGAATATTCAATATCTTTCGTATGCTGTCTGCAACAGAATTTATGGAGGTAGAAGTCCCTGTACTAATAGTCGCTGTTTCTTCTTCAGCTTGTGTTCTATAGTATGTTCTTAAATATTTTCGCTGGACTCGATAATTTCCATACGTTTCTAGGGATTCATCAGCAATCATCGGAATTTCAGGAGGTGCATAATTGTTAGAGAATTCCTCAGTCCTCTCACTTGGGTCATCTAGCTGATTTTCCAAATCTTTTATGAGAAAATCGCCACGGTTCTTTTTAGAAACTTTAACCCTTGGTTTTGCAGGAATACGATTAGTTCTCAATTTAATATCTTCTGTTGCTTTTTGTTCAGTTGCAATTTCTTTTAGCTTCCCTTTCCTGCTGTTTGCTAGTTCAATTTTTTCTTCTTTGGAAAGTGAAGATGTTCTAGGTCTAGGTAGTGGAGTGAAATCGATTAAAGTATCCGAGATGCGGCGTTGCTTTTGTTCCTTTTTATCTAATTTTACGTTTGCAGTATCTTTTTTCGATTTCTTTGATTTTGTGACCTTTCGATTCGGGCTCAAATTTCCGTCCTTTTTAGAGTGACTTATTGATGAAGTAACATCATCAGAAACATTCTTTTTAATACTGCAGCTAACGCCTCTAGATTCTCCTTTTGGCATGTAAGGTGCATCGATTATTTCAGGTTTTCTCTTTTTATTTGAATATTGCTTTGAAGTAGTATCCATTTTTTTCTTGCCATCTTCCAGAGAGCCTTCAATTACATTCGAACTACCACTATTTTCTTCTGATTTCTTTTTTTTAGACCTATACTTTTTATCGGCAATCAATTTATGATCAACCTTACTAATGATTACTCGAGGAGATAGCAACAATCGATCATCTTCCAACGATGCTTTAGTAAGTTTCGAAGAAATACTATCTGATTCCTTTTCGCTTAGAGATTTTTCGGATTCTGATCCATCTACTTCCATTGGTTCTTTTTCAGTAGGTTTCTCGGATATTGTTTCACTAATTTCTTTAGACTTCTCATGGACGGTTTTTTTTTGTTCATGTTCTTTAAAATTATTGTCAGAAATATTATCATCTGGAGACCTACTGTGGACTGAAGTTTCTTCGATACTAGATCGCACACTTCTTGATGATTTATTGGCAAATTGTTCTGGAGTTACTTTACCAGATTTTTCGGAATTCCGTTCAATTTCTGAAATGACTAGCTTGTCATCATTCTCTTCACTAAGGATTTGACTTCTTGACAGCCTTTCCAGCCAAAGGTTTTCTTCATCTTCACTGTCAGAAAGCAAAATGATCTCTTCAGGTTCATAGGTGTTATAGAACATGTCATTTTCACTGTCAACATTCTCCTCCTTGATCTCCTGTTTCAATTCCTCTCCTGTATCTTTAGCACTGTCAAACAATTGAGAGCATGGAAATATGTCATCATCATCGTCGCTTAAATTTACTACATCTATTTCAGAAAATCTTGTCATAGGTTCTTGCTTAACTTGCTTCAGCTTTATTGGTGACATCATATCTTCTACATTGTCATCAGTTACTAACTTCGTACTTGCATTCATAGCAGATTGATTTACTTCACTTGTACATTTTGCATATTCTAAAGATTCAGCTTCCGATTGTTCCATGTTACCATGAGAACTACTATTGTCAGAAAAACATTTCTTTGAGATTTGCATTGCACGCCTCCTACGATTAATCGTTGGCTTTAATTTCTGTAAATCTGCAAGTGCATCGTTTACGTCAACACAGACTGCATTCAACAGCAGATCTGAATTTTTTGACATAATGTTTTCATCCATCAGTATAGTTCCATCTTTTGTTGGAAGCGACGTGCTTTGTATTATTGGATTATTACTCTCTGCTGACCTTAAATTGATATTAGAAATATTTTTGTCATTACCAGAATTTAAAGGATGCAAATTACTATTACTGTTAGTATTGGAATTCATTTGATTCAATCCTAAATTTGTTCCTTCCCGACTCTCTTCAGTAACATCCATGTTACTCGTTTTCTTTAGTTGCAGATGTTCTTTAGAAATGTCATTTCTATTAGTACTATCGCTTGTATTGTTTTCTTTATCAATCAAGATTCTTTTGGCAGTTGTGCTTCCTTTTCCCTTCAAAACAGTTATAAGCTCTCGATCATTTATAATTTCTTTATGACTTGACATGGAACCACTGTTAACTTCTTCAGCATTGGACTCTGATGTTATACTTTCATTCTTCTCCAACAAAGTATTGGCACCTTTGTAGTCTTTTGACATTTCTATTTCATTTTCTAAGTGATGAGTGTGGATTTTCTTACTCTGAGACACAGAAGTGAAAGTAGATTTTTTCTTTTCTTCTAAAAGACAAACTTCTTGTTCTGAATTGGATGCTTCTTGTTCTTGATCCATTAAAAGTCCATTGCAATTTGTATCACTCCCTGTATCAATGGGGGCTGATTCGAAAGTGCAGTTCTCTGATTCTTTTGAAGTACATGGTTGTTTTTCGTTTTTATTTTGAGAAACTTCATTTTCATTCTGTAACTGATCATTTGATTCCCTAGCCAAATGAAGTAACGTTAACCTATTGTCATTTTGAAGAGATAATGATTTAGAATTATTGCAAGGCGCTTTCCAGTTTTTAAACTTATATGTTGCGGAATAGCTGTGAGACAATATTTGAATATCATCATCCATTTCATCTGGTGCTTGTTTAATTACTATGCCATTTACAATGTCCTGATGTTGATCTAAAGTGAAAATGAATTAATATGTTAAGCAAAGACATATGTATATTGATGGCTATTTTAAAACACTAGGTTGTAATGAAGTAAATAAAATTTTTGGATAAAATATATTTCATACTTGTACTACGAATTATAGCATCACTGCATGATTCTTCAGGTTGTAACTTTGATATTTTGGACGGTAAATGGGCATTAATGTTTTTTTGAGCTAGCCTTCTTTTGTTAAGATCACTATTATTTTCTGTTGTACAAATGGTAGTACCATCATTGCCTTTAATAGTCCTTGATCCACAAGACACGTTTGTTGGTTGGTCATCAACTGCTGACTATTAATAAAAGAATTTTTTAAATATTTTTAATTTTAGATAAGATAATTTAGAGTGATTATTTCTTAAAAATCACTTTAAATGTTCCTTATTAGTATTACATATACAAAAGTTGGCTATTTCTCAAAGAATATATCTAATGATTATACCTGAGATTCTAGAAGCTTGTAAATAAACATTGAACTTTCAGCACTGTCAATGGTACCACAACCAATACCAACAATATCATTTATTTTAAGTTTTACCATGGTATTTGGTTTCAGCATTACACCATTCACAAAAACTCCGTTGGAACTCTAAAACAGCACAAGTTATAATTGTATCTAGAAGTACCCAAACAAAGGAACAAGTTTTAACATTGTAAAACTTTACCTTTAAATCAATGACGCTCAATCCATCTTTGGTTCGAATAAAAAAACAATGTTGCCGTGAAACCCAAGGACTGAGACAGATGATTTTATTGTCTTTACCCCTGCCGCATGAATACTAAAGAACATAAAATGAATTATGATCTAAATGATCGATCGGTATGTTATAAGGCATTCGTATTATAAATAAATTTTTGTACATTTTGAAATTATTTATATTTATTATAAAAGTATGAACACATCAAATAGAAATTAACTTACACTCTCTTCATTCTTCCCAAGAATAATGATGCCTGGGTTATGCATGCGCTTCAGCATATAATCAACGTCATCACAGTCACCCTCCATTTTTTAGTTGGTTTATGCACATTAGAGAAAGCTGGTGGATATATATTAACATTTGTAAATAAAATATATAAAATAATAAGTATGAGATCTCTAACTTTATCTAAGTAACCTAATATACATTAATGCTCTACAATTGCAGTCTCCATTGTAATCTTATGAGGGTAATCATAACCTAAAACTGTGTCTCGTTTATGTACAAGTTTTACTTACTTAATACAATTCAAACTGATATTTGCGTATTGACGGACAAACTTCCGATACTGTCGATTATAAATCGAACTTCTCCGAATTTATGCGAATCCATTTATTTTTTATAAACTTATACAAAGCGTAGAATGGAATAACTTTCAACATTTAATGTAGCCCCGAATGTTCTAATAACACATGCACATTTTTGAAAGTAATACACTGCGAGTTCTCTATTTAAATGTCTTTATATTATACATCCACTTATTTAGATTTAAACTATTCCACTCATGATTTTAAAACCACCGATTGTACGCAGTTTTATACAACGTTACAGCAAAGTAAACCCAATACCAAACACCAGCCGTTAACGCGGTAAACTGGCGTTGCTTGAATACACTTGCTCTTTTATATGTCAGTAGGATTGTAGAGATGGTTTCATATGAACGCAGGATACATAAAGGTTCCTTTTCATTTACTACGTCTCCACCGGTACCTAAATGTCGATCTTATATCTGATTTTTTTCACATACGGATAAGTTCCCGATCAAGGTATCCAGAAGATATGATATCTATTACAACGCCCTCGACGGGAACACTTGGTAACATTTTGTATATCCTGGATTACCCAATAGGCCACAAACGAGTATAACCATTGAAATATATAATCATATATAGTAAACTGGACACTCGCTGCACTAATCTATATATACTAACTTGATAGCTGATCGTATTTGTTCTATACATGGACCTTAAAATACATGAACGGAGTCTAAAGTCCTATTTTAGTTCAGGACGTTTATTACGTATTTTTAACGAGAGCGCTCACTTCTCGCACTGTCATCTCACGTGTATTTATTCGCCGAATTACGTATTCGTTATATTAAAGAACGAGATCTAACCTTCGGTCTAGTAACACAAATAAAGGTACATACCTTGTAAATCGAAAATTGTTGAGAAGTAGTGGATTATAAGCAGGAAGGCGGAAAGATGAAAAGCCGTTAAAAGTAAAGAAGAGGACTCGAGTGTATCTATATTTTTTAAATATGTATTACATTCATATTTACATGTACATACTAAAATTAGAAGTTCTATAATATAATTTTCTTATCATGTAATGTAAGCATGAATTATTTAACAGTTTTCAACGTTTAATAATGTAATATAACCTCGCAATAATAAAAACTAACCTGTATATTCTAGTAAATTTTCTTTCTTCTAACGAAAATGGGCCTGAGGCATACGTAATTCCCTTCTTCTTCTTGGAAGATGGCGGTCACGGTGCTTATTGTTCTATCTTTTCTTGTATGCTTCACCATATCGCTTAAAAATTTGTGTCGAGCCCGTTCATATGAATGGTTTCGCATTTTCATCACCAAAAACGTTCCGTAATACCGCGAGCTACTCATTTCTCACATTTCGCTCAATTTGCTTTACGTAATAGATCCCCAGCATAAAACCGCATAACATTAGTTGCTATAAAACCAGAGTAATGTAGCTGGTATAAATGCACTAAACGTACTCAATGTGTTATTTTGAAATTGCGTTTTATTTTAACTTAATGTTCACAAAATGCATATGTATTACCTACAAGAAATGCATGATGTCAACATTATTATATTTGCAACCAATAATTCGGCCATCGAAGACTAAGATATTCGAGAAGAAAATGGAACCAGTAACATTTTTGGGTACCACTTTTCAGCTGTCACGAGACTCTACATGTCTTCGTTGGTTCAGACTTCCGATTTCCCCCACTCCTGGCAGTGAAACGCCTCCGTTCCTTGCTTGCAACTTCAGCGCCATGTTTTACGAGTGTACGGAGTATCCTAACCACGCCATTGTAGGCGACGCACAGTTTTTTCAAATATTCCGCAGCAGTTTCGACTTTCTACTGTGAAATTGTGAGCTTAAAAGACATCGCTACGTTTTATCCATCATTTACAGGCCATTAAACCTCGATCAAATTGAAGCGACTTGCAATTCGACGCGGTAACGTACATTGAGCAACGCCACTCTCGCCATCCTAGTTCTGCAATGATTTCAACTCTGGAAATTTAATTTCTCTACACTGCCACGCACCCTTTTGAGCTGTTGTATATCTCCTGCCACTCAGAATAGCGGCTTTTACGTGATAACGGATTCGTTTGCTTTCTATCGTGCTCTCGTAGTTTCCTTCTACAAAGTCTTTCGAAAATCATATGCGGCAAGCCCACGTTCACATATATGACAGCTTGAAACTATTCACCCCTTCTCTTTTCTAGAATTCAAATGTATATACGTAGTTTACAAAGGAATATATAGTTTTGCTGGATTCTATGAAGGGTGGTGCACGTCGGAGCTATTTAATTTACATATGAGAATGTGCTGAGTGAAAAGCAGGCTATGTACAGCATATTGGAATACTAAATTTTTAAAATAAATGATTTACATTTATTCAGTCAGGTATTTAAAGACGATATTGAGTAAATTATTTCGCAACAAAAGACAATAGGAAATGTGTAAAGAATATCAGCAATTTTTCTAATAGTTTAGTTCATATGAGTATGCAAATGAGAAAATAATGTAGTTTTAACAAAAAGTGGTTTATCCATTAATGGAAGATAATTGAACTTAGATTTACTTTAAAATCTGGATAGGATACTAAGTAAAGTACCAGTACGTGTTTCATGTCGTGCTCGCATAAATTTTAAGTAATCGTTGGGAATATTCAGCCACTCAAGACACAGCAGTTTGAAAACTTTTAGTCGAAACATGTCTTATCTATATCTTATAATTGATATTTCAGGAATACAATAAAATCACAGAAGCAGCATGTACGGTAACAATATCGATCCGTGGGAGCCTGGGTACGGGCCGGAAAGAAGGAGCCATACTTCCGATTACCCCGAATATCGAAGCGAATACAACAGTAACAGATCACCGGATTACGGGGAACATCGGGACGTGGACCACAGAGACAGAGATCACCGAAGTCCCGAGTACAGGAACCATCGTGGAAGAGACAGAGACCGAGAGCGAGATCGTTCGCGGGACAGGAGAGATCGAAGTAGAGAAGACAGAGATCGAAGCTACCGAGACAGGGACGATCGATACGGGAGGCAAAGGGATAGTCGTGATTCCGTAGAACGAGATCGCGATCGTGACCGCGATCGAGACAGAGATCGAGATCGTTCGCGGAGAGACAGAGACAGGGATAGGGACAGAGACCGTAGAGGAAAACGTGATGATCGGGACCGAGATCGCGACGACGATCACAGTCGGGAGAGCTTGGACTTTGAACACGAACACGGTCGCGCGTACGGGTCATCCATGGAAGGTGTTCACTACAAATCTCAGTCCCCCAACAACACCATTATGATCCGCGGACTCGCACAGCATATTACCGAAAACGACGTAGGTTGTCAACTTAGAGGCCTGTCGTAGGCCTGAACGAGTTGAACTTTTGCTGCAGCGTATCGCCAATGTCATTATTACCCTGTATGTATCGCAGGTGCGGCAAGACATCCTCAATTGTGGTCTCATGCCCAAGGATATAAGGCTGATCCGGAAGAAGGACACAGGTAAATATAATACGACTTTAAAGTCATTTGATTTCTTCTCCTTTTTTTATTTATAAGCATTGCCGGCTGTGTTAATCATATCGTCAAATCGGCCGGTACCCGTAGGATTCGTGCGTCAAGAAATGTAGATCTAAAGAGATCAGTTGCAGGGCCTCTTTTTATTTAGCGTAAAGGTATCATTGGCGCGATCGGAGAACCTGTTTGATTTTCTAATGACTTTTCGTTGCTTTCTTGGGTTAAAGTAGTCAAGGTAAGTCAACGTCGAACCCGAAGAGAGCTCGCGTCCACAGAAGATCCAAAAGTGTAAACTTGACTACCTTCAAAAGAGAACTTAACCGATAAATTCGAAGATTATCTCTCTATATAATCCAGGCAAGCGTGCAATTGAGAAGTGGATCACCAGCGTTTGAGACACCCATTAACTGGATCGGATCTACTTTTTAATTGATTGAAGAGCTATTTGAATATCGGAAATCTCAGTCGAGGATATCTGCATTGTCACCGTCAAAGCTAGTCTTCGGTGATAGGCAAAACGTAATTTACTCAAAGTAATGACTTGCATTAGGCTGCGACTTCAATGATTTATTATTATATTTTTTTTTGTTTTTAATAATTACGCGTCAGAGCACGCATCCATTCGCAATGTCTATCTTCAAACTCGGTTTCAAAGTCCATAGCTTAAATACGCTCTAACCACTAGTTACATTGACCGATATACTTTCTAGATTGATCATTACCTAACTTTTCGAAAGAGCACGATTAATCCAAAGTATTGTATCTATTTCCTAATCGAATAATTTGAAACCTCAATCTGAATCCATATCTTTATTCTTCGCGGTATAACTAACGACCGCCGTTTAATCGATTTTTCGGATTTGCGCGTAAGAACAATTGCCTACAAAGCTGTGGCCAAAGAATCCGTGAAATTCATCTAAGATAAGTGGTACACTAATACCAGCGATCGAACACGTCCCAGTTGCCTAACACTACCTTAAACATTTCCGTTTATTAACCATTCTACAAATAATGGCTGTTCGAACACTGGTACGTTTGACTTTTCCATCGTCTTCGCGGCATAAATAATAAATTAATATTAAGGGGATGTGAAAGTGGCATCCGAAAGCTCAATCGTTCATAAAACTTTTCTCCGACCTGGGTGTCTCAAATCGTTTCATACTTTAAAACGTGAATATGGATACCCTAAGGTAGGTCCTGAACCTCACGAAATTTCATTTTTTATAAACTTTTTAAAATACCTATAAACAATTTTGAATAGAATTGAAATTTCATGAGTTTCAGGACCTTCCTTATAGTCTCCCTATTCACGTTGTAAGGTTTCAGACTATTCGATAAATCGAGTTGGGAGAAAAGTTGTATAAAGTAAACCTCTTCGGCGCCACTTTCACATCACCTTAACACACATGTCACATGTGTTTTGGAAACTAGAAATTCTGTTTTTTACGTTGATTCAAGTCATCCGTACTTCATATCGGTCTTTATGTGCCTAATCTTGATCCGAATCAGAATGACGTCTTAAATGTTCGGCCACTGGTACACGTACCTTAAGGGGATGCGAAAGTGGCATCCGAAAGCTCAATCGTTCATAAAGCTTTTCTCCGAGCTGGGTGTCTCAAATCGTTTCATACTTTAAAACGTGAATATGGATACCCTAAGGTAGGTCCTGAACCTCACGAAATTTCATTTTTTATAAACTTTTTAAAATACCTATAAACAATTTTGAATAGAATTGAAATTTCATGAGTTTCAGGACCTTCCTTATAGTCTCCCTATTCACGTTGTAAGGTTTCAGACTATTCGATAAATCGAGTTGGGAGAAAAGTTGTATAAAGTAAACCTCTTCGGCGCCACTTTCACATCACCTTAACACACATGTCACATGTGTTTTGGAAACTAGAAATTCTGTTTTTTACGTTGATTCAAGTCATCCGTACTTCATATCGGTCTTTATGTGCCTAATCTTGATCCGAATCAGAATGACGTCTTAAATGTTCGGCCACTGGTACACGTACCTTAAGGGGATGCGAAAGTGGCATCCGAAAGCTCAATCGTTCATAAAGCTTTTCTCCGAGCTGGGTGTCTCAAATCGTTTCATACTTTAAAACGTGAATATGGATACCCTAAGGTAGGTCCTGAACCTCACGAAATTTCATTTTTTATAAACTATTTTTTAAATACCTATAAACAATTTTGAATAGAATTGAAATTTCATGAGTTTCAGGACCTCCCTTATAGTCTCCCTATTCACGTTGTAAGGTTTCAGACTATTCGGTAAATCGAGTTGGGAGAAAAGTTGTATAAAGTAAACCTCTTCGGTGCCACTTTCACCCCACCTTAAATCGAAATAGTAAAACGAGAGCTTCGCGCTCGATATCGACGCGCGTTACGCGGGGCGTACGAATGCACGTTGCACCTTGAAATTACGTTTTGCCTATCCGCGGTCTCCTTCGCGACTACGTGTAGTTCTGGTCGGCCCTAGGTAGGCGCGAAGGAACAGAACGTTTCGTTCCGGAGCTCGGTCTGTCGATGGTTGGTGCTGCGATTGCCTGCCCTCTCAGAGTATAGACCTCCAGGCAAAACGTGGATTAACTCTGGATCTGTGTGTATTTGCTCTGTATAGGTGCTTCGCGAGGTTTCGCATTCGTCGAGTTTAACGCGACACAGGAGGCCGCACGGTGGATGGAGATGAAACAGGTAGAAAGAAGTTCACAGACAGCGGAATGAGCGAGCCGAGAGAGAGAACGATACGCTTTGCTAAGCGTACCAACGACGCCCCGTGGCGTAGAGCAGGCAGGGCACGGTAAACCGCGCGTCCCGCTGGCCTACAGGCCCCCTGGCCATGGCTGCCTGCATCTCTCACACAAGGCTACCGTACCACCTAATTACTTACTTTACCCTAGGACTTTACTAGTCCCCGAATACGGACCTATACAGACTGCCCTCGAGTCGCTCTCGCGTGGCCGAGAAACGGACGTCGGGTGCCCACCTCTCGTTTCGATGCGCGAGTCACCCTGGGAGCTGATTTACCTTCACCGAACTCGAGGCCCGATTTACCCGGGATTTACGTAAATTGCCATTTTATTGATATCTGGGAAACTTATCGCGCCCAAGAGGGACGTCGAGTGTACCGCTCTAATTGGAACTTCGCGCAATGCTTTCGCGTATACAGGGTGTTTACTAAACATGCGGTAAAAATTCAAGGGGTGATTCCTGAGGTATTTTTTATGAAGAAACGTTCATATGAACATTTGTCGAGAGATGATTCCTAAGGGAGCTACGCCCCTTCAAAGTGGGCCACCCTGGGCTCAAGGAGGTAAATGTGCATCGTAGAAATTTGCAATTTTCTCGAAAATGATCAGCCCTATCGATATGAAATAATAATACCCGGGATTTACGTAAATTGCCATTTTAGTGATATCTGGGAAACTTATCGCGCCCAAAAGGGACGTCGAGTGTACCGCTCTAATTGGAACTTCGCGCAATGCTTTCGAGTATGCAGGGTGTTTACTAAACATGCGGTAAAAATTCAAGGGGTGATTCCCGAGGTATTTTGTTACGAAGAAACGTTCATATGAACATTTGTCGAGAGATGATTCCTAAGGGAGCTATGCCCCTTCAAATTGGGCACCCTGGGCCCAAGGTGGTAAATGTGCAATTTTCTCGAAAACAATTAGCCCTATCGATATGAAATAAGAGTACCTTTTTTACGTGAAAATCCTTCAGGTATCATATTCTAAAATCAAAATGTAAAAAAAAATGTCCATTAAAAAATGGGGTTATTGTCACCCTTAACCCCTTCAATACGGGACGCTTCTGATTAAAATGTTGAAATTCTGAGCTTCGATTCTGATTAGCGTCAAAAGTTTATGCAGTATAACAAATTTCATAATTTCAATATGGACGGTTTCGAAAATATCGAGTAAAAACCGTCTTCAGGGTGCCCCATTTGAAGGGGCGTAGCTCCCTTAGGAAGCATTTTTCGACAAATGTTTATATGAACTTTTCTTCATGAAAATACCTCAGGAATCACCCCTTGAATTTTTGCCGCATGTTTAGGAAACACCCTGCATACACGCTACCGCGTCTCCTGATTTTAAGAAGATAGAGATCTCAGGGGATCGATGTTCCTCGTTGACGGAACGAGACGTTTGAGCTAGTCTTTGCAGTTTGGCATGAAGCATTTACTTTGCCGCGTGTACCGGTAAAAGGAAGGCTGCCTCGGTGCACTTCGATCCGACGTGTAAATGGGTCGACGGTTCGGTATCGAAAGAGAGATAGATCAGCCCTTGGTTCGTGTCGAGTATCGTTTAGTTTGCCGTCAGAGGCAGTCTGTCGGCCGGACAAACGGATTACCTATGAACGGACGTATATACACGAACGACGGACCGTTAAACTAGTAGAGAAAAAAAAAAAAAGCAAAGTACTATTCCGTCAGCAAGATGTGAGCTTAAGAGAGGGATGACCGGGAAATACCGATGGACGACATTGGACGGGATAACACCGAAATTCTCTGTTTCAGGGCGTACTGATGCTGCAGGACCAGTATCGCGCTCTAATGCAGTACAGTATACCCAAGGACTGCAATGTGGATAAACCACCGGCAAAGAACACGCAGGACTGGCACTGCGTTAAGGTAGATATTGGATCTTGGAGTCTTAACCCTTTTAGTGACGGGCTAAAAAGAGGTGCTTATGCGAAGATAACCGGCCAAATTTTACGATTTTACTAGGATTTGGAAAAAGGCTCATAAAAACCGAACGAAAAGCAATATTTACATAATTCAAAAAGCAGGGTATTAAGGACAAAATAGAGAATAAAACGGTGACGCTAATTTTTCTATATTCATTGAAAATTACATTAATAACAAAGGTATAAGTGATAAAAAAAAAAGAAAAATTCAGTTCTCCGTTTCAAAACGTAATTGCACATTGGAAAAGTCATCTTTTTATCATAAATTTATATAGACCGTTTATTGCAAAGTATATACTTTAAATTTCCAATATATTTTTTAACAAAATAAGTAATATTGCACNATGCGAAGATAACCGGCCGAATTTTACGATTTTACTAGGATTTGGAAAAAGGCTCATAAAAACCAAACGAAAAGCAATATTTACATAATTCGAAAAGCAGGATATTAAGGACAAAATAGAGATTAAAACAGTGACGCTAATTTTTCTATATTCATTGAAAATTACATAAATAACAAAGGTATAAGTGATAAAAAAAAAAAAGAAAAATTGAGTTCTCCGTTTCAAAACGTAATTGCACATAGGTAAAGTCATCTTTTTATCATAAATTTATATAGACCGTTTATTGCAAAGTATATACTTTAAATTGCCAATATATTTTTTAACAAAATAAGTAATATAGCACAAGAAACATAAAAAATAACTCCAAGGCACATGGTAGGCGCCGGACGGATTATCTCATCTGAAACAAGTAATTGTTATAGGTTATAGGTTGTTATAGGTGTTGTTGTATCGTTATTTTAATTCTCTCGTAATGAAATTAGACTATTTATAACGTATTATAAATTTATTTTGAGATAGAGATCTCTCGCAAAGCGAATAGTAAAGCGCTACAAGGTGCGGGCCGATATATCGGCTCTGGCACTTTTCGCCAGTGCAGCGAAGGTCGATATATCGGCCTCCGGCACTAAAAGGGTTAATACCGAATTATGAAACGACTATACCCCGGTATCGTGACGTAATATCGATATACATTCTGGATATAACGTTACAGTGTGGGGCGCATAACTTCAAGAGACGCGAGACTTGTTTCAAGTGCTCCGCTTCGCGTGCCGAAAGCGAGGAGGGTGGAGAAGGCAGTGACGAGATCAGTCCACATCCTACCAACACGGTCCTGTTGCGAGGTCTCGATGTGCTGACAACGGAGGACTCGGTTCTTCAATCCATGAAGTCACTGTCGTCCATGCCAATTCGCAGCATCCGAATTGGAAGAGACACCCTGACGAATACGTCTCGGGGCGTCTGTTACCTGGAGATGGGAAATGTGGTCGATGCGATGTATCTTCACACGGCTTTGACTAAGCAGGGGCTAGTGGTCGATGGGAGGAAGGTAGAAGTGGCCTATTGTAAGTTGCACCAAGTGGCTAGCACTAGGCTCTGGAAAATGACGGACAACACGGCGCAGAGGTACACGTTGGACGACGTCGCACAGTTAGCCGAGTACAGTGCCAACATGTACGCTAAAACACCTGCCCAGAAGGCTCATTATCTTCAGTATTACACGCAATATTATCAGAACCAGATAATGCAAGGCTCGGCTATTACCTTGCCGTCCCTAAACCAAACCGACAGAGTAAATGCCGCAGCAGCTGTGGCCCAATCGGCCATTCAGCAGCTCCAGGCATCCCGAAAGTTGGGCGACGCCGAAGAAATGAAAGGTAGACCTACGCCTACTGCGCCGACCAGCACCTCACTGGCGAGTGGAAGGGTTCCGGCACATGCCAGCGATGGCAAAGTCTATTGTAAGTATATTCTCATAAACGCTATATAGGCTCTGGTCGTCTTATTACCCTTTAAATGTCTGAATATCTTGTACGTATCATATTTCATATTTGAAGCCGTGCCCGATGTCAGTACATACCACTATGACGAATCCTCTGGCTACTACTACGACCCCAGCACAGGACTTTATTATGACCCCAACTCGCAATACTACTATAACAGCCACACCCAGCAATTCTTGTACTGGGATTCGGAATCGTTGTCTTATCAACCAGCAAAGGTAACGATCGTTAAATTAAACGGATGTTTTCTTTCGATGCTTCGAAGTATGAAGAGCTTTGCCGTTTTCGTGATTTTTAGCAGACTGGTGGGGGACCAACGAGCGAATCCACTGCGGCAACCAACCCTGGTACCGTCGAGGGCAATGGAGTATCAGACCCGGGGATGTCGACTTCATCTACGGGAACGTCGCAAGAACTATCCAAGGACGACGAGACCAAAAAGAAAGACAGCAAGCAGGACAAGGTTAAGGTAGCCAAGAAGATTGCCAAGGACATGGAGCGTTGGGCGAAGACTCTCAATCAGAAGAAGGAAAACGCTAAATCTAATTGGAGTGCGGAATTCCCCGGTACCGAAGGTCACCAGGGATCGGGAAGCGGGGCGGCGGATGCAGGGTACGCCATCCTCGAAAAGAAGACTCTAGCGAATCCATATCTTGAGGAAGAGGACCAGTCCAGCAATAACGGCCTGGTAGCCGCGTACGGTGGCGGCAGCGACACCGAAGAGGAAATAGAGGACGTTCAGCAAGAGGAACGACAACACACCGATTGGAGCAAGCTAGCCTGCCTCTTGTGCAAACGACAGTTTCCGAGCAAGGAGGCTTTGATGCGACATCAACAGCTGTCCGACCTGCACAAGCAGAACCTGGAGAACTGGTACCGTGTCCGAGGTCTTGATCCCAATGATCCCCAGCAAAGGAACAACAAGTACCGAGATCGTGCCAAGGAGAGGCGAGCCAAGTACGGAGAACCCGAGCCCCCTCAACCTAATCGGCTAAAGGAGAAATATCTGAAGACCAGGGTCGAGGATGCGCCCGTGTCTTACGAGGAGCCTACCAGAGCAGGTATTGGGTCGGACAACGTTGGTAATAAACTCCTCCAAAAGATGGGCTGGAGCGAAGGTATGGGCCTTGGTAAGTCCAACCAAGGTAGAACGAGCATTATCGAGACGGAGAGGCGAATCCCCACGGCCGGGTTGGGCGCGAAAACTGCGACATACAGTGCTCTTCCTGGAGACACCTACAAGGATTGCGTAAAGAAAATGATGTACGCCCGTTATCAGGAACTCTCCGACACGTAATTGGTAATCGGTCTAGCACGAGATTATACGTGTAAAAATACTTACGTAAATACTTAGCAATCCTTACCCCTTGCGTATGCTCTAGCAAGCGTCGGTGGGGTCCAGGACAACCTTATAGACGTGAGCATAAAAAAGGACTTTATCTGGCTAATGACAAAATTGGATACTTCTGGGACGTGTATAATAACGAGACGTGGTGATGTTTTTATAATGCCCGCTCTGGGGATTGTGAATTTATCATTCTTAAGCTGATTCTCCGGGGATGTAATTTCTCTCTTATAATGGCGACAGTGAAGTCGGTTATAAATAAAGTGCTTTACTCCAGGTAATATCATGTTGGTTTTATATCATGCCGGACTGATGAAGGGTAGATATATTTTTTAGAGGTGGTTCGTTCTAATACATCCCAATGGATCGTTAAAAAGGACATATGTATAACGCTTTTAGCAGGTACTAGAACATGGCAGAATGGTTCTGCAATTATTAAATTTCGGTATTCAAGAAATGCACCAGTAGGTGTTAAGAGTTTTAAATTGTGGTTCCTAATGTCTTACCTCTCATTACACTACTTTGAAGTACAACGGTAAGCAGAGATCTGGAATTATTGCTCATTTCATTTTGTTAAGATGTTACGTTACGTATGGTAATGATTGAATCAAGGGAGGAATATCTGAATGTAAGAAATGCCGTGACAGTGTACTAGTGCCATTACAATTAAACTTTGAAGCTTAACACTAGAACGACCGGTAGATTTTTTTTTTGTATAGGATGAGCTATTTGAAGCAAGTAATTTTGACCCGTTTTGGTAGTTCTAGTGTTAATATTCTGAAATGCCCTATTTCTGCGAAATTGAAGAAAACACTAAATGTGTGATTGAAGAACAATGAATGATTAACAAGGAAATCATATCTAGGAGTGGTATCGTACTATTATTAATACTCTTTGGCAGTAATGTACCTTTTCTATTTTTTTTAATTTTTAAAAATGTCACTTGTGAAAGTAAGATCATGTACAAAAACGTTAACAAAATCAGGGTCCAGTTTTAGGTAACGGCAACTGAAGCGAAATAAGATCTAAACATATTTGAATGCATTATTGTTACTCAAGATAAATTTATGATAATTAGAATGCATCCACGGAATCTGGGAACGATTTCTTTTTAAAGCATTACAAAACAATTTCGGTTTATATTAAATCTAAAGGAGAGAAAGAAGGAAAGTTTTTGTATACAGAACTGTATAAATTAATTTTCTTTCAATGCCATTGTAAATGTAAATTTGGGTATTAATATATGGAAAAGATTAAACAAATCGTGAACCAAATACGTGAATAAAAAGTATGATATTTTTTCATACGAACATTAGAAATAGGTATAAGTTAACAAAATTTGACGAGTTTAATAGTTTATATAAATATAATAATAGAATAAGACACGATGTAAGGAATTTTAGTACAAGTAATTTTGTTAACGTTTCATGATTTTTCTGTAATCTTAGTATAAGAAATATAAAAATTAAAACTTTCATATGAACGTTATGTAGAATTAACTGTAAATAACACTGTCTGTGACTCATGATACAATTTATCTCTGGAAGAAAAGAAAAATATGACACCGAGTGATCATTCCATTTATTAAGTGATGAAATTATTTCTGTAATTTCACTGAAAACACTAATCACAGTGCCGTGTTTGACATTACCTCTAGACTGATTGTATCATAGTATAAACAGACAATAACACTGTTCATTAACTTGTTTCACGTTACCATACGCAACGTAGTACAACATAATAGAACGAGTAATTATTCCACCAATGATGTTTCATTACTTTGGTTCTTAACATTAGTCAGAAATTAAATCGCTAATTAATAACGTTTCCAAATTCAACCATAAACCTGGGCTTAAGACAGTGGAACGACATTATTGATTTCTAATACAAAATGATCACAGATCATGAATAGTGCCGAGAGGAAATACAAGCTTTATCATCGAATAACTTATAAAATGGCAATAGTGTATATATTATTCAATGCACTTGTTACAGAGTATATATAAACATCAACATACTTCTCTTTTCTTCGAGTCGGCATGTTGCTACAATACTTTGCTTTAGAAGCAGTACAACACTATAATTGACGGATGAATTAAAAGTTTGTGCAGATCTAATAGTAGTCTCGACAATGTTTTTCTTGACTACTAAAGCGAAGATTATGTAATTATAGTCGATAATAAACTGGCGATTCGTCAACGATGTACACGATCAGATTAATTCTAGAATAAATTGTGTTTACTGTATACATACATGTATATGTAAAGCATCTACATTGCATCTATTTGATTTTCTATTTTCTTTACAATGTAGCTAATAATTCCAGGTATTTGTTCATGTAAGCAATAGTAGACACGAGCACGCGTATAAGACACTGCGTAGGCAACAACTTTTTTTTTTTCCTGCGTCTCTTAGAAAATATCTCATAATTGTGACATTTATACACTTGCATTTCTACGACCACTCTTAAGACTTAATCCAGTTGTTTAAACTCTTGTCAGATTCATGTAACCAAACAGTAATCCGGAAAAATATAATAAACGCTCGTGTGGTATACGTATTACTTAATCGTAAACAGAGCAGTGTTTTTTCTCGAATCAAGACATGAGTAAGACGAGTTAAATTCAACGATAAAAACTTTATACTACATTCTTTAGTATCATAGTAATGCATATGAACACTAAATTCTTACATTTTTTAAAAACATTTTTGGCCCACGTGTATTATCTGATTGTTTCATTTAGACGTATCTATGTATGTAAGTAGGAATAGTAACTCATTACAACTTTATCCATCTTTGCATTTATTCCCCATAATCTTGAAACAAGTTTCTGTTCTTCAAGCAAGCTTATGAACATATATATTTACACAAGCTTACTGTAAAACAAGTTTGATAAATAAATACGCGAAACATAAAAATGGGCAACATAAATTACAATAAATATACACTTAAGATAATTAAAGCACAAAGTATGAAGATGTAAACGGTGTAAAATGGTTTACATATTGACAGATTGACATCTACATTAAGCGTTTTACAATGAAACTGAGATATGAGCCTAGATCTGCAGTGTAAATCTTTTTTTTACTATTAATTTATCCATTAAAAATGGTATCACAGGTACATAATTTAGCTACTATGTATCACAGTTCGCTGCGATACTTTGCTATATATATGGGTTTACAACATGTAACAGTGACACTATTCGGTATGCAATATGTTATCGATCAACAGTCAATCACATTAGAAAGGTCCTATTCAGCCTGATATCGCTCTAATTTTCAAAAGAATAGAAAACTGTACAGTCATATGAAAGATCGCTATAAAAAGTTCTTAAAGTAGAGGAAGAAAATACCGAGCTAAAATTTATTAGACTAAAAATCTTGCCATAGGAAAAGCACTGCAGATATAAAAACTACACGAGTATTAAACCGTGAGACATTTCAATTGAGTATCGATATCTGGCATAAAGAAAATTATCCAATATTATAAGTGGAAACAAGTTTCGTAATCAAAAACTTAGTATAGTAAAAATAATACTATATTTGTTCTATTTTTTGTGCCTGAAACCTGGAGTATATTGATTTGATAATGGTCTAGTATTTACTAAAAAGTTAATTTAGACAAATATCTTCATAAAAAATATCAGTGCCTAAATAAAACAGACAATGTGTAATATGATAAAGTATTTTTGTACACTTTTCAGACATTTTCTGACTACCATAAAGTACAATCTTATTTATATCATTCAGTACTAGAAGTATCATAACAAGTCATGTTATGCAATTTATCGCTAAGAAATTGTTACAAATAAGATTTAATACATCTTATATGTTATACATCAGCTAATATCCACGAATAAAGTGGACGTAATTGATGATTTAATACTTTATACTCCAGATTACTAATTCCATCTATGTCGTACCTCTGAGCACCAGTTTCAAGATTTACAAATCTGGCACTACTAGGTGGTTCTTTCTTATGTGTCAACATATAGTACTGGGCAACATCTGGGCTGAATCGTGTCACCTGAAACCACAATATTAGGTAACGATTATAGAATCGATACATGTTCTATATTATGCTTACATACCTTAAATCCTTTACTTTGAAGTCGACTGTAAAAGTCATCATCTTCCCCACCCCAACCATAAAAGACATTAGAGAAACCATTGGCATGTTCGAATTGCTTTCGCGTCACAGCTATGGCCCCTCCAAATAAGCCAGTATAAGGCAGGTTGTATCTAAATGTATTGACACTGGAACTCATGTGTCTGGGCATCTTAGTGCATGCATAAATATTGTCTAGATTCTGAGGTATCAAATCGATGTCTTGAAATATGAAACAGTGAAAGTCGTTGACCTTTGTAGCCTCAATATATCCAACGTTGAATAACTTTGCTCGATTAAATTCCTGTACAGGACTTTGTTCTATTACAAATATCCTATAATCCAAATTCTGTGACTGTAGAAATGGGTGTATATAATTCATAAATATTGCAAGCTGCGATCGCCGATTACGATAAGGTAAAATTATTGCAATGTTGAAGAGTGGATGGCAATTAGATGGCCTCCATTGCCCTCCGGGTAAAATGCCAAGTCGCCGAGCCAGGGCTACTGGGTCTTCTCGAGGGTGTTCTTCTGGATAAAGTAATTGTAAAGGTCTCGTACCACTGACTACTATGGAACAGGAATTATCTCTTGGTGGGTAAGACCTTTCCATCTCTCCGATGATGTCTTTGGCATTTATGTACTCATAGTGAGATGCAAACCGTGCCGGATGTAAGCAGTAGCACAGGACTAGAATTGTGGTCACAACGTAGAATAGGCCTCGAGCGTACTCATGGAAGAACGCAATTAGCGTTTTTAAGACTGTCGTGATGTGTCTCATGGTAGAATCTGGATTCACGTTTTAATTGATATTCTAACGTGGCAGTTGTTTACGAAGCTGTCAATACGTACTTGCCAACGACTTTTGGAATCCATTCTAATTTTATTTCTTCCGCGTTATTTCTTCACTTGAAATGTAATGCAATAATATCATTTCCGTATGTAACTTTTGACCTGCAGGTACTCGCTGATATTCCATCCATTAATTTTTAACACAGTTTTACTCCAATTATATACGAATACATAACGACATAAAATTCCTATCAGACTTTTGTCCGCTTTCGTCAACCCAAGTCTGCCCACGTCTGTGAAAAGCAGTGATAGCTACAAATCGCTTAAAGGGAGTAAACTCAAGGGTACCAACTCTTTCATGGGAGAAATCACCACTAAGGCCCGATTTCACAACTGTAGTTAATCGATGTTCAACCGGTTTATACGCGGTTTAGACCTGCTGTAAACCATTTAAACTCCGGTAAACTCAAGGGTGGAACAACCAGATGTAGGGGTCTATTACGTAAAGCAAATTGAGCGAAAATGTGAAAAATGAGTAGCTCACGGTATTGCGGAACGTTTTTGGTGGTGAAAATGCGGGGCATTCATATGAACTGGTTCGGCACAAATTCTTAAGTGAAATTGTGAAGTATACATACGTTAGCGGCTCGCACCGACCAACAGGGGACAGCACAGGAACGTTCGCGCGACCTGCCCGTGAGCAATCTCCCAACTCATCTCTGCGTTGCTCTATGTTGAACGCTGTTGAAAGCGTGGTTTATAATTTGCTACAAAACTAACCTATACAACATTCAAAGCGATGCAGTCGCGGAAACCTCGCGTAATATTAGAAGAATACGGCATTCCTAATGTATTATCAAATTTTTATAAGGCATTTGATATTCTCTGTTATTATAAATAATGACAATGTTAATAATGTTACAGGCAGCCGAATACTCTAACCTTCAAGCAGAAGGAGGATGGTCTATAGAACATTTCAAAAAGGTGTTGCATTCAAATCCATTAGTTGCAATAACTTTTATTTTAACACGCTGAAAGCTGTATGGGCTATTGATCCACATTCCCTTTAAGAATGCATGTTCTTTAATTGTTTCAGCCCTAAGTATATGATATGCAATAACTTAATATTTCAATATTAGGATACATTGTAATATGAAGAATTTAACACCTGCAAGACTTGTTATACTTTTTATTGTTTCAGTCTTTAAAAGTTGAAATTGTAAGAGAATCGGATGATAAAAGAGAAATGGAATTTGATTTAATTGGAGTTTCTGCGGCTTTAGCAAATGTATTTCGTAGAATACTATTAAGTGAAGTACCATCGATGGCACTTGAAAAAGTATTTCTGCTGAATAATACCAGTTTAATTGCAGATGAAATACTTGCTCACAGGTATTATAAAGTTTTCATAAGTTTTTATTATATGTTGTTAAATATTATTTTTATAGTAATAAGTCATTTATATGAAGGTATAATTTGACAAATAATGGGAGGAGAGTTTATTTATTTACTTTGACAAATATGTAGACTAGGATTAATACCTCTGAAGGCTGATCCTCGACTTTTCGAATACTGTTGTAATGTTGGGTCAGAAGAAGAAGTCAGTGATCAAGATACGTTACGATATGAAATGAAAGTTACTTGCACATGGAACACCCAAGCTCCTAAAGATTCACGACGTCCAGAAGATATTTACCGAAATAACAATGGTAACTAATATTGTTTAGGGATTGTTAAGGGAAAATTGAAATTATCATTTTAATAGGGCTTAGAGTATGTAATAACTTAATTACAGTATATAGTCGAGATATTAAATGGGTTCCCATTGGAAGACAAGCAGAGATATACCCTAATGGAGAGGAACAGTTTGGCGTTTTAGAAAATGATATATTGATCTGTAAGATGCGCCCAGGGCAAGAAATACATGCATTTATGCACGCAGTTAAAGGAATTGGCAAGGATCATGCAAAATTTTCTCCCGTAGGTATGGTTATTATCAAAAGTTATGCAATGAATTATTAAACTGATTATAAACTAAATCATTTCTTGTCCAGCTACTGCCACCTATAGGTTGATGCCTGATATCCGACTGACAAAACCCGTTAAAGGTGAAAAGGCAGAACGTTTAAAGAACTGTTTCAGCCCTGGGGTTGTTGAAATCGTGGAAACTAGGAAAGGTAATTCTGACTCACGAGAAGCCAGAATTAAGCAACCGCGACATGACAGTTGTTCAAGGAATGTGTTTCGCTATGATGACTTAAAGGACTGTGTTCAACTTGGACGGATACCAGATCATTTTATCTGTAAGTCTGCATCTTTAATTTTTTTGTGAGTGGTGGTGAGCTCATAATTTTTAAACAGTAAATAGTTATGAATAATTTGCTATACGTTCAGTGTGTCAGACTACAGATTTCAGTTACCTGAACACTTATTGCAATTTCATATGGAAAAAACAGATTGTATCTGTAATTTATGTATTTCAGATACCATTGAATCAGTTGGTGCTTTGCCAGCTGGAATTTTATTTCTGGAAGCTGTTAAGGTCCTAAAGAGAAAATGTAAAGCATTTATCGAAGAAATCGATAGCATCGATTAATTTTAATGAATATTAATTAATTAACATTTGTAACAATCTTTCCTATGTAATATTTAAGAGTAAAAATGCCAATTTTCAGAAGCATAATATTGCTACGACAAAACTGGGTTTTATTCGGTAATCCTTACACTGCACATTATTTTTCGGAATATTGTAAAACAGGCATTAAAGAAAGATCTGTGAGGTTTATTCACGTGTGTTTACAGTTGCCATGGCAACGGGTCTAAAGACAGGTAAAAATGTTAGCCCTTGGTTATCAAAATCTGTCAGTTGGAATTCTAACCACATTATGATGGTCAATACAAAATCAAGATTACCGTTTTATAGCATAAGTAATTAATGATGATTACCTTCAGACTTTTGTAACATCAATTTTTACATAATTTACTAGTCCCTGTGATAACATTTACCCATATAATAATGGCAAGCAATCTACCGTTTAATCCGAAGCAAGAACAGCTTTACATGCTGGAGTTTCTTCTGGACTGTTTGAACGTAAAACCTGAAAGAGAACACGAAATTGGATCAACGTCATTATCTGTACATTTTGAATTTGCCGATTTCGCACGATTTGAGGTAAAACAAGAGGAATTTGTGTTTTTAACGAGGCAGGTTGAAAAGACACCAACCTTACCAATTGATCATAAGACCAAAAATGGATTAATACAGTTTGGCGCTGGTAAATCGTGCCTCTTCACTAAGCAACCTGCAGACCTAATAAGAGCCCTAAAATCACAGCCACTAAAAATAAGCGTGCACCATGTGTCCAATAAACAATCATGTACAAAGAACGAAGAACCAACGATTTGCGAAACGTTGGTTCCATTATCGGGATGTCTTTGTGACCAAGTAGCAATGAGCATGAACGATGCGAATCATTTACCCAGGCCGTATGCATTAAAGAACACGTACAATCTCGTCGACCCTCAGGGCGATCCGTTTGGCACAATTTCCATTTCCTTAAGACTCTCATGCTTTGGGAAATTCATAATGACACAATTTGCGTTCCAAGAAAAGTCATTCCTATTCAAAACCCTCCGATCGGCAAACGAGTTTCAGTGCACCCGCGTCCTTCCCGACGAGGATGAATTTAAAAAACTGGAACTCGCTAGGAACAATATCTGTAGACCTGACAGTCCGATTTTCCAGGAACCCGAAATTGATCCTTTGCCAAAGCCACGATCCGTCATTGCATTGTCTACAGTCTGTCAGGAGCTAGCAAGGAGAGACAGCGAGTCGGTTGAAATGGTCTCACTGATAAGAGTTTCGTCTGAAAAGAAATCTGATGACGCGGGCCCTCAGGAGAGCGAGGAAAAAATATCTCCGGATTTGCACCTGACAAGCGACACATGCATTTATTCTCCCGAAGGGATGCATTTCAGGCCTCTGAGAAGTGCACCATGTGGCGGTGCAGTTTGTCCAGGTGGTATTTGCGCCGGTAAAAAACTGCTCGAAATAGTTCCTCCAGATCATTTAAACAATGCAGCTGGGAAATCCTGTAATTCGGAAAGTCTTTCTATTAGGAATTCCCAAACTATGGCAAATTTCACGACTATTTGCTGCTATAGCGCAAGAATGAGAGGCGGTGGTTGTTGCGACAATAATGAACCAGGTAGTTCTTACACATTCCTGGTTTAATTCCATCGACTTGAATATTATTCCGCGCATTAAGGTGAAGTGAAACACGTCGAGGAACTTGATCGACGTCGATAAAGAAGATTTTTCTAAATGCCTACGTTGCCGACGTTCGTTTTTATGTTGACAGCTGTGTCGAATTATATTGGATATCGTACAAAATGGCATACTCCACCTGTCGTTTTCGTACAATAAGTATCAAGAAATCGAAGTAAAACTCCAGAAATCCTCTGGATTCGTGCTTTCTGGGGCCCTAATTGACTGCAGAGGGACCCCTTGCGCCATCTGTGATTATCAGGTCAATTAAATTTTCACTCCGAGACCTCGTATTACCATCGTTTTAGCGTAGAAGCGCATACAACATTTTTTTTGCCTTTATCTCGTTCAAATGCGAGTTTATCGATTATCAGAGTGTTCTAAATTGTCGTAAAATTGTCCAGACCCTTTCGATTTTCATATCAGAGCTTTCGATAATTGCATATTGATCGAAATATGAGAGCTCGACGCCATTTTGGTTCAGGTCTGGGCTCAGTTAACAAATTAAAACAAAAAATCCAAATTTTGAATGTGTCAGGACAATTCTTAGATGATCACGAGTGATGTATCAAAGTTTCAGACAGTTTGGTCTAATACCCTTAAAAAAAAGTGTTGCATTCGAAACGACTGATTTGAAGGGGGTTTCACTTCACCTTAAATGTGAAAAGATATCTGGAAAAGGATGATCATAATGGCTGATGCTCGATGAGTAGTCGAATCGGTCTTGAATGACGAAATATATTTCAAAAGTTATTTTGAAAAACTATGAAATCGATTCTGTTCTTCTCAGATCATCTTCCAATCGGTGAAACCCGGAATAAATCTAAAACCACCGAAAGGGAATCGAGACTCATGGGCAGTAACGAGATTTCAAATCAGAGCCGCATAATACAATCACTTCATACTTTGCTCTCCGGTGCCTGTAAACCACCGTCCAAGGACGACAAACCAGGGTGCTGTTGTTTCGGAAAAACAGGAGCCGGTGCCAAGAAGCCATGCATGGGAATCGACTGCTTGATAAAATCGTTCAAAGAGACGCAGAAATTTGTCGAGGGCATCGGCAAGGTGCCTGGAATGGCAGGGCTGGGGCTGATGGATCCCTCCGAGAGTCCATACTTTGGGAGAGCTCGAGAGGAAGGGCGAACCACGTGTATGGAGAAGAACGTGGCCCAGCAAGTGCCGCCACCACCTTTGCCCGATAATTTGAGTTCGTCTCATCCTACGGTTCACACTTTTCAGAGGAAGGTCCAGACCCCCGAGAAAGTCCCGGACACGGGAATAAGCAACGCTCCTCAAGGTTTTGGAGGGTCTCCAAGCCTGTTCGCGGCACGTCCGGTGGTCTCGAAGGAGGTTCCTCCAACGCCAACTGCGAACGAGGTAACGCTCATTCTTGCCGGCAAGGTAAAGAAGAAAGAGGAGAAGGTCGAAAGGCAGAAAGAGCACGAGACGATCACCGCGCCGATGACCAACGAGACCGGGCCCTGTGGAGAGCCAAAGTGCAAATCCAGGCAGAAGAAGCCGGTGCACAAGGTCTCCAACGAAACCACCCAATCGCATAGACTATCCGTGATCAAGAAACCTGCCCAGCTGACAAAACCATCCGTCCCTGGGAGAGGGTCCAATATAAAGAGCGAGAAGTTCCGTCATCGGGCGAACAAGGGTAAGTCGATCCCCTCAGGACCCGGAGGAGATCGGAACGTGCTGGCCAATTCGTTGATCAAGGTGAGCAAGAGAGTGATGAAGTCCGTCCACGAAATGGCGCTAACGAACCCAGGGATCTATTACGGGCACAAGAATTGTCTGGACCTTTACATGCGGATACCGGCCAACATGGGCTGGCTTTGGAACACGGGCTTGGAAACGCACAGGCACTCTTTGGGCTGGAAACCAGGCGCCATATCAAGATATGTGTACGGACTTCTGAACGAGGCAAAAGCTGGCTCGGGTGCCTCCTCGGAGAGCAGACCTGCAACGCCCACCAAAGGAAAACGGGGGAAGGTGTTGAAGAGCAAAAGTTCCCACGCCCTGGGCCGGGCCAAAAAGAAGGAGGGCTCCAACGAGGAAATTGAACAACCTCCTACGCTGCACATTCACAGAAAGGACGGGACGTACTACGTTACCATGTACCCCGTTCGGCAGAACATGCTGGACAATAAGGACTTGGAGCCTCCGAAGCCTCTGCAGTTCAAGATTACCAAGAACAAGGACGACGTCTCTACGTGCTCCAGCTCGACGGCCTCGGACATGGAGATTGAATTTTCACCACCCGCTGCCGTTCTGCACCGGAAGAAGACTCCCGAAATCCGGGATGTCGATACGCAAGTCAAGCAACAGGAAATTGTCGATGCGCTCAAACAAATTGCCGCCAAACCGGGGAAAGCTGCCGCATCGAAACCCGACGTGGCAGGAAAGAAGGGTGGAGGCAAAAAATAATTTTCTAATATATTATGGGTACACGTGTTTGTACGTGATACCGCTTTTTAATGTCCGTACTTTTTGTCTATCGAGTAATTTTGACGATAATGTTTTTACTTATGGCTTTCGAGCGACTTTCGTCGCGACCGAATGAGCTTATGTTCCAGTTGAATTTTTAATTAGAAAACTATTGGCTTAAATAAATTTTAAATTGTTATGATCATTGATACGCGTTTATGCATACAGCATATGTGGTTGGGTCAGGTACGGCTTGTTGGTACTTAGAGGTAAAAGAGATTAAGCATTGTCCCCGAAACCCCATGGAGCTACGAAGGCTACGTAGGAGCGTACTCGATAAATCATCGAATACGGAAAATCTGCATCGGCTTTTGTGATCCTATAAAGTCCATTACGTAACTGCAGCTTCCGTTCCAATGGCGGAGTGTTTGTTATGATCATTATTGCCTGTTATCGCAGAATGTTCACGATTTGTGCACACGCAGGGTATTATTATAGGAAAGTGTGGATTGCCGATGAATAGCTCGGAAAAGGGGAACCGAGAGAAAGGGAGGAATCGAGAGAGCGAGGTAGATGAATATTCATACAATTTATAAATGCTTCTATGGAACAATTAATATGCAATAATTTCGCCGATAAGCGTATCAATTTCCTCTAGTGAGAAGCCGACGAAAAACATTCCCCGACGTTTGATGAGCAATACCGGTTGAACTGTTGAAGTTGAGTAATGAGAGGATATGAATGGAACATTGCGTTATGAAATATCAGGTATAGTAAGCGGCTTTGACTTGTCAAAATCGATTTTTTTTTTTGTCAATTGATGAAAACAAGCGTTATGAAGAGAAAGAAAGTGTTGCTTGTGCGCCTCTGGAATATCGGATTAGCTGCAAATCTTATAAATTATATTTTATTTACAAAAAAGATATACGTAAAACATTAAATGCGTGTTTTTCGTTGCGTTTTCGAAACAGCGTTTTTTAACATGGTAACCGTAATATCTGAAAAATGTATTATCGAATCCACTCGAAATTCTGTACTTATATTCGGTGGATGCTGAAATTAGAAGTTTTTCAATGAATGCAAAATAAAAAAAATGTGCACCTTAAAAAATGACCCGTTCTTTTGTAGAAAGTTAAAACTTCTGTTTTAAAATACCACCGTTTTGAAATTCCTTGATATTTTTAGACCATCCTAGTTCCGACGTCAGCTGTACTCATGTAAACCAGCACTAAAAATCTTTCTGTTTTCTCTGTCTCAGACTTCTACTAGAGCCAAATTTACGGTGACATCGAGAAACTGTTCATTTGATAAACTCCAGCAAATTACATATAATTTTGGGACAATTCAGTGTTATTACTTAGAAGAACAACTGTACGATTTTAAAACGTAATTACCATATCCAGAAAATTCCAAGTTAATAAAAAACATAATATCGATTCTTTCCAAGTTTCAAATATCATTTTATTGTTTGACCCTTTGTGTTAAGGAGCCGCTTAACTAAAGGTTTAAGGAGACACGTGACCGCCGGTTGCAGGTTTTACTTCTTTGAATTTCCACCACGTGTCCTTATCAAGGAATGACAAAAATGATAAAATCATTCAAGATGGGAGTTCGCCGATCGGCTCAAAAGTACCTCTGCGACTAATGTTTATTTTTCTCACCATATCTGAGAAAATCTTCACCCGTGGAAATGCGATCTAGTGGGAAAAGAGAATCGTTTCCTTCGCAACTTGGTTCCGTATTCCGAGATATCGTGATACGAGCGAAGGGATAGCCGGGGCTAGATATCTCGAGGATTCAGGGGAAGATCCCTCGAGGCGTTCAACCAATTAGCTAACTCCGAGGCACTTCATCCCCCGAAACCGCTAACGAAGAACCAGTGAGCCCCGAGGAAAGAAGGGAACGAAGGTAGGCAACCACCTTGGAAGATCCGATGGCGAAAGTGCCCCGGGTTATTCGACATTCTCTGGTCTCCATCCGAAACGACGGCCGGGCCAAGCTTTTATTTTATCGTCGATTCCGGGGGCTAACTTCTTTCGGCCGCCAAATATTACGGTTACGGACTTTTAATTTCCCGATTAAAATTCCCCTTACGCCATGAGCACGTCGACGACACCTTGGAGGAGCGCACTCTAGAGATCGCGTTCGCGAGGGTGGTTCTTAATGCGCACCTATAGCACGAGTACGGTCATTCTTCTACAACTATTTCATCACAATTTTCATGGATTTCCTAACTCTCATGAAGATCTGAAAGTATTTATTATTCGGTAGTAAATTTCGGTAGAAATTTTATGAGCAATTCTGGATCTGCATTAGAACTTCGAACCTTTCTTCGTGTTGGTAATTCGGTAAGGGACGAGTCTCACGAGACTATGATAAATTGATGAGACCTTGTTGAAGCTTCGAAGATAATGGTACATTGGTACATATCTTTATACGGAAAATTAGTTTTAGATAGTAGTGCACGTAAAGGTGCGGATGAATACGTAGCCGATAGTTCTTTAATCTTGAAAAATCGTAAGAAAAATGGCGAAATTAGTGGAGATAAGTACGAAGGATCGCTTTGAATTATTTTACTTGAGACTTTTACGCGTCGCGTACCTTTGAAGAATGGATCTATGGGTGAGGACCAAAGGAGGCTGTTTCAGGATCTGAAGATCCGGCCTCACCGATCATCAAACGTGAAGCAGGGGCGTCGGGAGTTTTCCCTGCGAGTTTTAATTGAATCAAATAAAAAGGAAGGGAGGCTTAATTAGCCTTCTTTGCAGGAGTTACCGAAACAGTTGGGTCGCAGTTTCGCCAAGTTTTCAACGGTGCTCGATAATGAGTGCGACGCCCATCGTCGGTTTTTTCTAGGAAGACGTACCTTATAGAACTGGCTTTGAACGGTCGTTGAAGTCTATCGAGTTATTGTCCCCTACTTACCCCTTTTCCTTTCCACATTCTGAAGTTTGGCTCGAAGCCTTCGAAGAATAATTCCTAAACATGGAAATATGATTCTTCGTAAATTCATTCGAAGATTTTAATTATATCAAATGCGAAGCGTTTTATTTTTCACTCCATTTACATTTCGAGTTACCGTTACCGAGTTATTGTTCGAAAAATCATTCCTAAACAGGGAATATGATTTTTCGTAAATTCATTCAAAGATTCTTTTTATATCAAATGCGAAACGTTTCATATTCCAATTCATTTACATTTCGACTTACCCTTACCGAGTTATTGTCTCTTACTTACCCCTTTTCCATTCCACATTCTGAAGTTTGTTACCAAGCCTTCGAAAAATCATTCCTAAACAGGAAATATGATTTTTCGTAAATTCATTCAAAGATTCTTTTTATATCAAATGCGAAGCGTTTCATTTTCCACTCCATTTACGTTTCGACTTACCGTTACCGGGTTATTGTCCCTTACTTACCCCTTTTCCATTCCACATTCTAAAGTTTGTCTCCAAGCCTGCGAAAAATCATTCCTAAACAGGGAATATGATTCTTCGTAAATTCATTCGAAGATTTTTATTATGTTAAATGCGAAGCGTTTCATTTTCCAATCCATTTACATTTCGACTTACCCTTACCGAGTTATTGTCCCCTACTTACCCCTTTTCCATTCCACATTCTGAAGTTTGTCTCCAAGCCTGCGAAAAATCATTCCTAAACAGGGAATATGACTCTTCGTAAATTCATTCGAAGATTTTTATTATGTCAAATGCGAAGCGTTTCATTTTCCAATCCATTTACATTTCGACTTACCGTGCCTTTTCTGTGTTAATATCATAATATGCAAATGACATCTTGAGGAAAATATCCTTATCCTATCTTTTTCCGCTCGGCGAGGAGTTCGTCGCGCCAATTTCCTCAATTTCACCCTCGCAAAGAGAGTGCCCTTGTGACAATTCTGGAAGAATATTGCGGATGTAATTAAATCCGAGAATCGTGTGCAGATGACTTATCAAACTGAACGGCAGAGGTAACCGCGTTCGTGGACATTAATTCTCATTTTGCAGGGAGGATCGAGGCCGCAAACACAATTAGTTCCTTCCTGCGTAGCTTTCCTATTTTCTTCATTCTCCCCTCGTTTCTACCATTGCGTATGCATGTCCTTAAAGGGCGAGGTACACGCTCGAGGGAAATTAGAATATTCGCTATACGCATGGCTAGCATGAATGCTCGGATTTCGGTTGTGCTATCAATGGACCGTACTTACTAAATAAACCATAGCGGACCTATCATACAAGGATGTGGTTTTAATGATTCCATTACTGATTTTTAAAGTTTCCGCGTTTTCAAAGAGGTAGCGTACCTAAACCAAGTCATTCACGTACACTGATAAAAAAGCCTCTGCAAATTTACATACTTAATCATTGGTTATTTTAATGCCACAATAAATTGCAGTAAAATTGCATTGTTACTGTAACATTACATTCGGCATCTAAGTTGAGTTAAAGAAAATTATAACGTAATATTACATTTAATTCAAGTAAAAATGCATTAATACCGTAAATATACAATGTTACGTGCATTTATATATTTTCGAATTTGTAATTTTTCGATTTTACGTTTTTCTATGTAAACCTTCATTGATGAGGTGTGTAAAAATGTATGTAAATTTCCATCTATTTTTATCAGGGTAGTGACGTAAAAATTATATGAAAAATAGTTTCGATAACCTCGATTTATATCGGCTATTTTTTTCTACGATAGATTCGCTAAATATTGCCATGTTAAGACATTATTTTTAAGTTAATTTGCAATGTTTCGTTACTTAATTATGTACACAATACATCTGTCTACATTGTAAGAGTTAAAAATCGAATTATGAAATGTAAAAGTAATAGTAAACTGTTTCTTTAAAATTGATAAACTGAGGATAAAAGGAATATAATTATTTTGAACAGCAAAATAAACAAGAAATATGATGCATTATTAAGAACATTGCAATAATTGGCACACTTACCTTACACCAATATCAAATCAAAGAAACCAAGAGTTTCCCATCCC